AGAGCCGTGTCCGCGGCCACAGGGTGAAGCAGGAGGGGCAGCACGCAACGGTGGGCAGGATTCCGTGGGCCAATGTTATTAGTGTCAGGTGACCAGATTTGAACATTGGTAAAGTGGGGCACCATTGATAAAACTCATATCCTGGTGAAATAGCCACACGGCAGCCAAAAACCGTTTACCCTAGCTTGTTGTGCATTCTTTCCAAAAATCGGTACTTTTTAAAAATGCCGCGGGATGCAGGAACATTTGTTAAAAATTGGGACTGTCCCACGAAAAGCGGGACGTCTGGTCACCTTAATTTATGTAGAAGTTACTCCCTCCAGATCCCTCAGTTTCAAAGTGGCACCACAGTTCTGGAATGTGGCTGCTAACCAAACAGATTAGCAGCTTGAGCCATGGGAGACGCCCCTGGAGACTGCTCAGGTACTGACGACAGAGTGGGACACTTTATAGGACCATGTTGCTCTGCCATACGGGGTCACTGCAAGTCACAATCAACCCCGTGGCACCCAATTATGTCTACTCCTGTCCCACTCACTTTCCTCCTCTGTAAAACGGGGTCACGGGAACTGCCCTTTCAGAATTAGAAGGCTGACTGAGTGAGCCTGTTTGCAAAAAACCAAATTGTTAACATTGCTGGCAGCCAACCTATTTGCTCTTATTTCCATTCCCTATTGTGCCAGCAGCTCTCCCCAAAAGGGCCACGAGGAAGTTCACCTGTGGCTATTCGGCGTTCTCCATTAAGGAAGCAGCTGCAGACAGGGAGCCCGCCAGGAAGGGAGGGAGAGAAGCAAACGGCCCCGCTAAACTCTGAAGTCATGTAACCAGACCATGAATAATTAAGACTAGACCGTTCTCCTTTAAAGAATTATTTATACGAGATCAAGTTGACAACAAAAGCAGACGTTGGGGAAGAGATAGCAAGAATGGAGACAGTGCACAGCGGAGCCAGCGTCACTGCACTGCGTCTGCAGACATTGTGCTGGTGTATTGCCACCTAAAAGCAGAACCTGTTACGCTGGTCTTCACGATGCAGACTCAACATCTTGCTCTGGAACAATCCATGAGCACCTTTCCTGATGACTGCTGGGTGCCCAAGGGGGCCTTCAGCTATCAAGCCAATGACGACCAATCACCCTGCTAGTGAGTTCATGATTCTCATGCACTGCCACACCCACGTCTTTCAGCAAACAGCTGAACTGCCCTCCGAGCGACAAGCATACTGGATGACAGACGCAAGGCGGAGACTCCTTTTCCTTGCAGTCAACGCGCCCCTTGGCCCCTTGGTCTTCTTAGAGCAGGGGTTCTCAACCGTCCTAATCAGTTCCTCATGTGGTGGTGACCCCCAACCACAACATTATTTTGGTTGCTACTTCATCACTGTCATTTTGCTACTGTTATGAATTGGGCGACCCCTGTGATAGGGGCGCTCGACCCCCAAAAGGGTCGCGACCCACGGGTTGAGAACCGCTGTCTTGGAGGAAATAAGGGTAATCAGCACACGGTGAGCACATGCTGGCACTGCATCAGGGGTGCTGCACCCCGCCTGCCTCCCTCCACCGGCAGCAGAAGTGTGCGAGGGATTGCCAGACACATTTCAGAGTTGGAAACCAAGGCTTAGAAGGACGACACCTCACACTCAAGTCTCCACAGTTAGTGGTAGCTTGAAGACTGCCCCTCAAAAATCTGTGCCTTCACCTTTACCTGGTTTTCTGCCCAGAAAAAGGAAAGTTCCCCCCAATTGACCGAAGTAAGAAGTTGAATTCAACTCAGTCAGCTCTGCCAGCCAAGTCACCCTGACTTATGTTTGGCTTACACGGACCCTCCATGGCTAAAAAACCCCCACAAATGTTGCCACTTCAGGCAACCAAGTCTTCAGCCAACATTTAAGATCTTCGCCCCAGTGGATCTTTTGAACTTCACCTCCTAAAGGCGCCAGCCTGGCTTGTAGTCTTTTCCTGAATGACTTTCTACACGGTTCTCGCTGCCCATGTGCCTTTTGCTCACCCCATATGTTTGTCCCCTCTGTCACTGTCAAGAACACCAGCTCCCCATTCAGGGCCATCTGGGAATGCTGGCCTCCATGAAGCTTTTCCACCCCCTCCCCCACTCCACTCAACCCTGTGGCTGTGAAGCTGCTCAGAAGACCACTCCCATTAATGGGCAGACAGCACCCCACCTCCATCCCCTCCCTGGGTTACAAAGGAGATCAGTTCCCAAGTGTGTATTTAAATTGAATTTAAATGTAAGTTGAGACAAGTGCATATGGTTCTGAGGTAGGCTCACTCGAGTGTAAGAAAGGAGCCCTGGTAGTATAATGGTTAAAGTGCTTGACTCTATATCCAGTGGTCAACAGTTCAAAGCCACCAGTTCTCTGCAGATGTGGGTGTGTGCTTCCAGAAAGCTCTACCTATGAGGCGGTTCTATAGGGTTGCTTGCAAAGAGTTGGAATCAGCCTGACAGCAATGGGTCTGGTGTTGGTTGGTGTAATGTGAGGAAACTCACTGCCATCAAGTCGATTCTAACTCAACAACTCATAACTATAGGACAGGGGAGGCGCCTCTGTGCATTTCCAAGACTGCAACTCTTTACAGGAGTAGAAAGCCTCATCTTTCTTCCACAGAGCAGCTGGTGGATTTGAACTGCTGACCTTTCGGTTAGCAGCCCAATGCTTAACCCACTGTACTACAAGGGAAAGGCTTCCTCAAAGACTTTTAAGTGATTTAAATGTGTAATATGCAGCAAGTGGAGGCGATTATGATAAAGGATTGTTGTGAGTAGTCCCATCACCTTAAAGTGAGAACAAACTTACCTAAGGGTAATTATAAGTTGTCTGTAAGGTGGATATTCGTTCATTCGGACTCTGGGGACTCACTGTTAAGGACTCATCTTACTTCACATACCTCTAATTCTCAGAGCATTCCAGTCATCTGTCTTTGCTATTTTAATCAGTTTCATTTATGGTTCCAGTAAGCCATGGGGGGAAAAAAAGCCAAATTATAAAGGGCACCTTATTTTCATGACTCCCCAATTGTTTACTTATCTTACAGTCTCTCCTGTTTATGCCACATTACATGTACATTCAACCATCTATTAGGCAAAAGATTTTCTTGGCCAACCGAAACACAAAGCTGCCTTAGTGGTCCAAATGCGGAGGTGCAATTGGAAACTACTCTGCTTGGGGATTTATCACTGGAGAATGTGAAGACAGAATGCACTGAAAAGCTTTAGGCATCTTTAGGATTTGGGATCAGTTCCACTGAAGAATACAACTTTGACAGATAGTCACACCCGTGCTTCCTAAGTCTATACCTTTGGTAAAAGATGCCCAGGAGGTAAATGGCATTTGACACGCACTCAGATTCCTTGCTTCAAGTATGCCAGGCTCCGGGGCGGGACAGCAACAGCATCCCCAGACCTTGTGTCCAGCTCATGTGCATTTGTCACATGGAGGCAGGAGCGGGCAAGCAGGATTCCATCTGGGGGTGGGCAAATCCCAAAGCAGATCTAGGATTTCTAAATACAGTTCCTCAGAGAAATAGTAGTTTCTCAAAGATCGCTTTTCAAATCGTCTCTTCTCACTTTAAACTAATCTGTCATCTAAAACTCTCAATTAGAAAAAAAATACTTGAGTGTGCTATATTAAATTATAATCTTCTAATAATGTAGGGAAGGAGCCCTGATGGGCAATGGGAACTCCCCAGTGGCTCCACAGAGAAAGACTGGAGCATATGCTCCCTTGAAAGCCTGTACGACCGCTGTGCAAAGTGATACGGTGCTACCTCAAACAACAGGGAACAGAAATCCCATACGAGCCAGCAATCCATTGCTAGGTAGATACCTCAAAGAAGTAAGAGGCACACCATGAACAGACACATGCACACCTGTGTGCATCGCAGCACCGGTCACAAGAACAACATGATGGAAAGAGCCCGAACGCCCATCAGCAGGAGAAAGGATCCAGAAACTTTGGAACATACACACAATGGAATACGATGCGTCACTCAAAACCAACCGGGAAAACCAAAGCACCTCATGGCATGAATGGACCTGGAGAACATGATGCTGAGTGGAGTCAGCCAATTGCACGAAACCAGCACGGTGTTGTAAGGGGGCATGGGGGAGGGGGGGCGGTGGGGAACAAGGAAACCAGAATAAGAACTTTCATACCAAAGGCAAAAGACTTCGGAGCTTGTTCGGGGAGGGCAGCGAGGTGGGGAAGACGAGAGCCACAGACTAGGTGACAGATGGGTGTTAACACGGTGACGTGGAAATGGTGGTCCACAAGTAGAAGAGATGACAAGGAGTAGGGGAGGGGGATTGAGTGGGGGTTTAAACTATGGAATACGATGTCGATGATCTGAAACGTAACACTTTCCCCTCCTCCCCCAATTTCCAATAACTTACAAGTCTTTTTTCTTTCACCTAGGAAGCCCTATGGGTAAGGTGACCAGACGTCCCAATTTTTGTCGTTTTAAAAAAGTCCCGGCTTTTGGAAAGAATGCACGACAGGCTAGGAACGGTCTACTTGGTCCATATAGACCAAATTTTTAATCAAGAACCCCCACCCCCACCCCCCTGTCAATGGTGTCCCGCTTTAAATCTGGTCACCTTACCTATGGGCAGTTGAAGTCCTGTCATGCAGGCTTGCTACGAATCAGACTTGACGGCACAGCAATGTAGGTTTGGTGGTTTAAACACATCCTGGGGTGTCTCCGAAGGAGGGCCTGCTCATCGGCTTCTGAAAGGTTTGACCCGCCTTGAAGACCTGACGGAGCACGAGTCTGCTCACACACGCGGGGCATCACCATGAGTCGGCGCCGACTGACTACCGCGTCGACTTTGGCTTTGACTTGTCACCAGTGGAGAAGTTAGAATTTCCACTCCGCCTTTCTATGTGAGGTTTACAACCATGCCAGATGAAGTTAGAGGAGACTGGACACACCCTACTGGACCACCGGACACAAAGCCCTGGGTTCCCTCGTCAGGACACGTCTTACCTTGATCCGATGACGTCGAAAAGGTGCTGCCAGCGGTCGTTGACCTTGCTGAGCTTGTCGTCGATCTCAGCCGCTCGCGTCTTGCTGCTCGCCTTGATCAGCTGGTCTCCCATTTGCTTTAACTGGAGTTTGTTCTCGGTGAACATGTTGATTTCTTCCATACAATCCTGACAGAGGCACGGACACACGAAGCGTGCATTACTACGGAGCGTTTGCTTCATCTCCGGCCACAAACACAGGGTGGTCTGAGGAAATGTTTAGTAAGGTCACAACATTCTCACCCTCCAGCTACTGCGACTCTTCAGCGTATAGCTGCAAGGCGAAACAACGGCCCTGGGCCAGCGAGTACGAGTCGGGCAGGCTTCCCAGGGCAGACTCTGCTAACCTACCTACATGCAAGATGAGGACAACTGACCAGAGAATGGAGCGGAACCAAGCTGCTCAGTGTCCGAAAGAGCTTTTCAGAGGTTTCTCAGGTTTGGGTGTTTGCAGAGAGAAGTCTCCCCACACATGGGATTGGTGGCTACTTCAAAATTATGAGTCTTATGGTTGTTGGCTTCTCTCTTTTGGCAGCTAGAGAACCACGACTTGATTGGCCAGACACCCTGACCGAGAGAAAGCAGCTCTCTCTCAGTACACACATACTGAGTGGAGTAATGAGTTTTACACTGGGCTGCTAACCACAAAGCCGGCGTTCGAACCACCAGCCACTATGCGGAAGAAACGTAGAAGGCTGCCTGCTCCCATAGAGATTTATAGTTCTACACTGCCCTAGAGGGCCACCATGAATTGGAATTGAATCGATGGCAATGAGTTTGGTTTTGGGGGTTCAAAATATACCAACATGTCCACCCACAATAATCCCATGCCTCCTATCTCTCTGGAATGCTCACCATTAGCCATAGTGAGAGAGCCTCTTTGGATTTCTAAAATGTTATTAGCAATACATCTCTAATGTGATAGCGTGTTAAGGCCGAGGCTGGGGAGGGCACACAATGTCCCTGGCAGTCACAATTGTATCTCACCTGGAAAAGACCACCCTGGCTTACCTTCTGTAACTTTTCGATCATTTCTTCAATACTAATATCAGCTGTCTGCAAAACTTTGTTTTCCATCTGCACCAGCCATGCACACAAATCTTTATTCTTGTCAGTGAACACGGCCCAGGAGTTGAGTCTATCTTCAATCTCTTGTTTGCGTACAGCCACCTAGGAATGAGAATGCATTTGGCGCCTAAGTATCACCAGACAGGTACTTCTACCTCTCCCATTCCCCCAATCAAAAGAATATGGGTTTCACTCGTCTTTCCAGTATCTCTAAAGGTTTACCTGCTTTTTTCCTCTTAAGGACCTAGGGATTAATGCCAACAGAAATTTCTTACACTTTTGATAAATGCCAAGAAACGAATGCAGTAAAGAGTGTAATGGAAGTGTGATGGTGGAACATTCGGGTTCTGTTTTATCTAACACATTTCTCGGGGCCAGGCAATGCTTCCTTCAAATGTAAATCTGTAAGGTCACCCTAGGTCAATGACAACTATACGGCAACTATTTTGCTGTACTGACAACTAGAAAGAGGGCCAGATCTGAACAATCCTCATTAAACATCACCACCATCTTTTCTGATCTTGCATATACATTGCTCTCTACTTACTACATGCTCATTTATTACGGTTAAGCCCCAAAGCCTTCCCTCTTTTAAGGCTTACACTTAGAGAAGGCTTATTTAATATATCAGTGATAGTCCAAATCACAGTACACATCAAACATTTGTAATGCAAAATGGACCAGGAAATGAAAGTCATTACATGACCCAGTGTTATACTTCAAAAACGAAACAAAACAATGCACATCACTTTTCTCAGCTGTTTTCTCACAATGTGCCTTGGCTCCGGATGGAAATCCTGGAGATGTGACCAAATACTGGTCTGCAGCAAGCAGGCTGACCCCAGGGCCCCCCACACCCCAGTAAGCACAAGTGCCCGTTCACTGACACCACCAAAGGGCCCTTTTCTTTATAGGTAGGGGTCAGATATTTTTTAGTTATGTAAGTTTCCAGAAGGCAGATCAGCCTTTCTAAATGTAAAGACACTATCCCCACTTCGTAGGATCTTAGCACTACAAGGACTAGCTGAGTGTCTCTGGTAAAGTTTAACGCCCCAATTTACAGCCGGGGTTGTCAAGGATAAACTCCCCGAGCCTTGCCTGCTGAGTACAAGGACGTCTGTTATTTTCAGAGGTACCGTAGGCAAAACCACATGTTTATATATCCACCCCAGCCAATTGTTTCCCCCCCCCCCAAAAAGGAAAGAACAAAGCTTTACAAACTAGTCATACAAAACAAAGTTTTGTGTTTCCATTCTTTAGGGCAGCTTAAGAAAAGAACAAAAAACCCTGGCAGTGTGCAAAGCTTCCTTCTGATTGGTTACATCTTGGCAACAATTAGGAACATCTGGGTTCCAGACTGTCTCTGCCTTCCCAAGTCCTGTCCTTCTCACATGGATTCTAAGCATTTTCTTTTACACTCAATGTGGATTAAAAAGTCGCAGAGCACATTGAAAATGTGGGTGCACTTTGAATCTGAAATACCACAATCAGGATGTGAAAATGTGTTTTTGCTTTATTAAAATGCATCTAAACATGTCTGAATTTCAACTTTTAAATAGTGGTTCGCCTTAATGCACCGCGTGCACACACACACACGAGAGTAAGGGTTTTGTTTTTCTGTTCTTAAACCAGAGGTCTATGATGACTCTTTGACCATTTTAGTTCCACCCCCTCACCCCCGTCTTCTGCACATAGAGTACTCCAGCCACAGTCGGCAGAGGTGACTCGTGCAGCTGTTCATCACTTCTTTGGGAGTTTTCCCCAACGGGGGTCTTGAACATCAATACCCAGTGCTGGGGAAGCCCAGCTTCCAAGTCAGTTGCCCTGCCCCCTGCCCTAAGTTTTCCTCCTGCCGTTTGCTGGCCCAGAAGGGTTCGTCGTGTCCTGTGCACCAGAGAGAGCTGGGCCCAGGCAACTAACTGCTCATACAGCCCCCCGCCCCCCTCAGGTGACTACAAACAAAACACAAGACACACAAAAAGTGTGCCAGCGTTTTCCACTGGCGAGACAAAGAGTCAAGTCTGTGAAGCTCCTAAAGGGCTCCAGGGGCCTGCCCTGGCCAGGAAACTAGGCTCCTTCAACTTTGTCTGGCTTCCAGGGCCCTTTGGGTGAGCTCCCCAACAGCTGTGCCCGCGGGCGCCTGACTTACTCGGCAGCAGAGGTCCTCCCATTGTCTGTGCAGATGCGCGATGTGTTCCTTCAGAAGCACCACGTCCTCCCAAAGAATGCGCCCGGCCAACTCGGTCTTCATCGTGCTAACTTCTTCCAAGTTCAGAGCCCAGGCGGCCAAGGACTTCTCCAGCTCCTGCAATCAAACACGAGAAGGGGTGAGAAAGGCTGCGAACTCAAGCTGCTGTTTGTTTCCAAACCTGTTGGCTAATCCTTTGATAGGAAGGGGGGGGGGGGGGGAGGGGGGGGGGGGGAAGAGGGGGAGGCCGGGAGAGGGGGAGGGGCCTTCGGAATGAGAAACAGCCCACCCTGAGCCGCTGCGCTGCCCACTTCCTTTTTCTACCTTTGGGTTTTCATTTCCTCAGGTAGTTCAGATTTTTTGGTGAATTAACTCCATCTCTAAGCTGCGTAGGCCTGTGGTTTTACTCAGGGGAAAGTAATTTTGGAGTCTAGAAACAGATTTACACACACACACACACACACACACACACACACACACACGCTTTAAATCATGAAACATTACAGAAACGCTGTCTACAGTGTGATGTCGCATTTTTTACAGAAACATTGTTGCCCCTGTGGCAGTCATATAACACAAAACAGCTTCTGCTCACAGGAGAGGGAGCACTTATTTTGGTTAACTATTTGCGGAAGAGAAAAGGAATTCTTCCCGAGAATGGTTAGCAGAAAAGAACAGCTGGCATATAGAAACAACTTTTGAAATTCCATGACTGAATCAAGAAAATTACGTTGACAATATGGGAGGTACAAGGAAACTGCTCAAAAAACAGTGTTAAAACACCACAGATTTTGATTGTGCTGAAAATTCTTCATACTCCAATATGTTTTGAAGGATTTCTCCTCTTTCATACTGGGTGGCACCCTGCGTCACACATTGGACTACTTCATACCTGGAGGGTTGACAGTTCAAAACTACAGTTGCTCAGCTGGAGAAAGAGGAGGCTCTCTACTCCCATACAGAGTTATAGTCTCCCAAACCAAAAGGGGCCGTCCCTCCCTGTCCTATTGGCTGTGAGTTGGTTTGGCTGATTCATGCCTGCCAAATAAATCTGAAAGAACACCCATTGCCATCAGAGAAGGCTGAGGGGGCACCAGTCACCACGTGCTCATTCGGGCTGCTTTTGAGAGCAGTGAAAGCTACATTGCCAGTATTTTAGCTTTACAATTTGCCAAGGAGAATCTACATGGCGAAAAAGGGCTAGAGCCATTCATTCTGAAGATCAGGGGTGGAGATGCAGAGGAAACGTTTTCTTTTTCAATTAGCAGGGAAATCTTAAAACATGTTCTTACCTAGTTTTTGTTTGCACGGACAGCCCCTGCTAAGCCAGCGAGAGCTAAAATATGCTGCCCACTGATTTAAAACTGTCCTGGGGTGGGGGCAGCTGGTTAGTACCCTTGGTCACTAACAGGAAGGAGTTAACCAAAGATGCTTTGGAAGAAAGGGCTGGGAATCTACTTCTGAAAAACCAGCCATGAAAACGGGAGTGGACTTGAAAGTTAACTAAGTAAATACATAAACGAGAGGAGGCGTTTACCACTGACTCCAAGTTTACCAAAGACCCCATGTTTTCCCTCAGACAGGCAGATGTACATCAATTTCATCTGGATATTAGGTTTTCCACCCCGGTATCAAAGGATAATTAACAGATGCAAAACTTTTAATTATGGACATTTTTAGGATTCTTAAGAAACGTGCCCACATTGTATCCTCAAAGGAATGACTGTAGCCACATGTTTTCGGGGGTGCTGAGTTTTGTAAATTTGGGGGACAAGTTTAATCTGCTTCCTGATTCCTAGTTAATCTTTAAGCTTGCATTTCTCTCATCACTCATGTGGAGTGTTCCTGACTCCTTGACCATGGTGCTCCCGCAGACACCACGTTAACCCAGACTGACACTTCCCGAGCTCAGCCACAGTTACGGGATGTTTCCCCTAACACTCATCAGGCTTATCATGATTCATACACACAGGCACTTATGCACGGAAGGCCACCGTACAACTATTGGTTAGGATGGGTCTCTCTGGGAGACTTGACTGTCCGCTCCACACTGGCGGGAATGACATCGCGGTTCACCAATGCAGCTCACCAACGCATCATCCAGCATCTACCACATTGTGAGGGGCATGGCGAGAGGCTAAAATGCATGCTGAAAATGAAGGCTCTTTGGCGATATGCACAAGGGTTTTTTAAAAAGTCACATGTTAAGTGGATAAAACAAAGAATAAGCACTGTATACAGAGAGCGCTGCACTGAATTTTATGACAGCCGACTATCACTGTTTACACAATATTTCAGAAGTCAGGCTTCTGTCTTAAAATGAAAATACCCCAAATTCACAACCAAACTGATTCCAAAAGAGACTAAGTCAGCTAGGCAAGTCCCCCTTTCATACTTTTAGACGGTAAATTGTCTACATTGCAAAATTCCAAAAGTTCATACAACATGTGATGTCAAATGTGAAGGTGTTTGAAGGCATACGTGGCTCACTGCTCAGTCCCTGACTGACTCTCTTGCACATCCTGTGCCTGGGACGTCACACGTCCCTTTTCTCTATACTGCCTTGACTAAGAGCAGACCCAACATTCACATGCAGAAATATAAATCGGCTGGTTTGCACACAGGGGCTCTCTGGAGGAAGGCATGTTACACTGAGGATGCTGCTTCTGTTGGAGGGAATGCCGGGCGAAAAAGTCCCTGTCTGCCTTTCACACCTTCTCTATTCTGAACCCTAACACGATATTATATATTTTAAAAAATCACTTAAAAATAAAACTGTTCATATATTTGGGTTCAATATTCAACATTTTTATGAATTCAGATATCTACTTTTAGAAATGATGGCAGGTATATTGAGAAGTATGCACCAAAGTTTAACAACACAAGACAATGTTTATGGTTTAACAAAAAAAATGTAGTAACATAAATAAATGCAATAAAAATATACTTACATAGAGAACATGTAACTTCTGGATGGTCAGATATTGGGAGGTATTAATAAGTTTTTAATTTTCCATGAGAAACACTTAGTAGTCATAGAGAACAGTAAACTATGAAGCAGTCTGAGTATCATTAACACCTCTCAGTTGAAATTTAGGAAGTATAAAGATCACAACTTTTGTAACATTGATTGATATATACACAAAGTATTCGATACCTGACTTGGCTATAATGGGAATGTGATTCTACAAGGAAATGAAGCTCAGAGTGGTCCCTGGGCTATCCTATGTTCCCAACCGATGATACATGTAGCATCCTGGAAAGCTGCAGGTGACTTAGAACCAGTATGAAATCTAGTCCTCGGATGAATGAGCTCAGTGCGCTTGACCTTTCTACTGGATTCTTTCCATTGAAAAAATAGAATGCTGAGTTTTTTGAAGCAGAAAAAAAAAAGATTCCATTGGGAACCTGGAGTGTGATAGTTGGGAACAATTATGACCATATAAAGGTTTAGATTTTGCATTGTGCATAAGGAATTGTATTTGTCATCTCTTGTTTAACACTAAAGCCAAGACCCAAACCTAAGGATGCAGAAAAGGTAAAAAAGTAAAATTTAAGGATAGGAACTCCTTTAACCTAATAAAGTGCATCTGCTAAAATATCACCAGCAAATATCATTCTTTTTTTTTTTTTCTTTCTTGGTATGTTTCAACTTGTTCTGTCAGTGGCTCGATGTTGTTGCTGTTCTGCTGCACACTGTCGCTTGGTTTTGCTCTGTCCTGTTTTTGCGCATGCTGTTGTCTCCGCAGGTCTGTCTGGACAGGACAGGCTGGATGAACAATCCTCTTGAGACGCTCGCTCCCGCACTTCTCAGTCGGAGGAAGTCGCAAATATCATTCTTAATAGTGAAATGTTACACTCATTCTCTTTAAAACCAGAGAAGCTAGCTATCAATGTTTCTAACCTTGTTTTATGAATGTCATTGATCACTATAAGAAGGAAAACAAATGTTGAAGAATTAACAGAAAAATTTTAAAAGGTCATTACTCACAGGTGATGATTGCCTACATGAAGAACCAAGAGAATATTGGATGTATTATGGGAATTAACAAAAGAGGGTAGAGCAAAGAGCTGAATATACGATCAACTTACAAAATCATTTGCATTTCCGGGCAATGCCAATTAACAGAAGAAAAAAAAATTCACTGCCATAGAGACAAGTCTGACTCACAGTGACCCAACAGGATGGCGTAGAACTGCCCCTGTGGGTTTCCAAGACTGTAAATCTCGATGGGAGTAGAGCTCACCTTTCTCCTGTTTCCAAACTACTGGCCCTTTGCTTAGTAGCCCAAGGCACAACCCACTGTGGCACCAGTTTCTATACTGAGACTTTACCAGACATCTGATTCTTTCTTCAAGATGGTCTCACCTAAAATGGCCCAATCTTTGCCCTTAAATAAGACATCTTGAGGGACTCAGGACTAGTGGACCCATGCTCACACATAACTGCTCCTGTGCGATGCCCCAGAGAGAACTCACAGCGACCCACGCACAGCAGAAGGAACACGGCCAGCCCTGAGCCCTCCTCACAGTGGTTCCCATGCTGGAGCCCCTGTTGCAGCCATGTGGGATCATGCATCTGGTATTTTAATATTTCGGGGGAGGGTGTGAAAGGGCTTTCTTTCTATTCTGTAAACAGTTACAACATCGGAAACTCACAGGGACAGTTCTACCATCTTCTATAAAGGCGCTACGAGTTGGCATCAACTCCACGGCAGTGAATATCCATAGATCTATCTCTATGTATTTGTGTGTATATATGTACTTCTATGTACTTTAAGTTTCTACAGAGAGACATGTATGCATGCAGAGAAAGATGAGGCTTTCTGCGCTCACAGAGTTACAGGCTGGGAAACCCACAGGGGTAAGGGAACCCTACCCTGCCCTACAGGGTTGCCAGTGAGTCGGCACAGACTGGTGGCAGTGAGTTTGGGGTTTTGCATGATCCATCTGAGGCTTAGTCAAAAAACTTGTAGCTGAGCTTAAATTGAACTATTTTAAATGTCCCTCATTACTAAGAGATGCATTTCAATTCATGCTTTAAGGACATAAAAATATTTATAACCCATTTCCCAGCAACACTCATGTGCATCCGCGGACGCATGCACAGATGCCGA